AATGGAAAAATTAGCTGGGAGTGGTGGCAAGCCTGTATTCCCAGCTACTCAAGAGGCTAAGGTAGGAGGGTTGCTTGAGCCTAGGAGTTGGAGACTGCTGTGAGCTGTGATTGTAACACCTGCTCCCGCTGCCCTCCAGCCTGGGTGACACAGTGAGACCCTGTCTCTTAAAATAAATAAATAATACATAAAATAAAAATAAAGCCTTCAATCTAAATTCTTCGTGTTACATTCAGGACTCTCCATGAAAGTATAACCAACTGCCCCTCCATCCAACACTGTATTTCTCCAACATCAGTTCTTAGTATTCTAAAGGCCCCAGGTTGGCCCTGTCCTGTGTTCAAATTTACTTCATCACTGTTCTCTACACAGAACATGCCTTTGAATGTTATTCTCTTTCAGAGTTTATGAGCCTCAGCACTATCAACATTTTGGGCGGCATTATTCTTTGTTGTGAGGGACTGTCCTGTGCATTGTAGGATGTTCAGCAGCATCCCTGACCTCTATTTTGTGACAACCAAAAATGTCCCCAGACATTGCCCACTCTCTCAGGGCAGGGGGTAAAATCATCCCCAATTTAGAACCACTCCTCTGCTTCTATGTTTTTGCCCATATTCCATAACAACTGCACTCTCAGATTACACTATAGGTGTACATAATAGTACTAGAGACTTTTTAGAACATTTATCCCAAATTTAACATTTGAATCTAAATTTGTTATAAGGATTCCCCATGTAATTTCCAGAGGGTTGTACAAGAGAATGCTGAATACACTGCATTCATTTTTCAAACATCGTCTGGATAGGATGGTGCTTCATGTTTTCCTTCTTAAAAGGCGGTACGTATTATTAAATGAAAAGATCTCCCTCACCATTAATCCTCAGAAAAGTAACAATTTTTTTAAAAAGTCCTCTTTTATTTTGCTGTGTAAATTACATCAATATGTATTTTTTACATATTATATTATCTTCTTGTTTGTCTATATTAGAACACATGTTCTAATTGCAGTGTAGGTGGAACATGCAGTTCATATCTGAAACTGTCTATAATTTACACAAATGTATCCAATAATATGTCCATTAAATGTTAAACCATCAAGTATTAGGTGCTTTTTATAATGCATAAATTCTTAGTAGATTATCAAGTAAATGTTTAAGAGAGTTTTATTGATTATTGAAGAAATTGTTGGGGTTTTGCATGTACTAAGAATGCATTATTATTTTTCCTATTTACAATATAAATTATTTGCTTCTGCTACACAAAAATTTGCCTTCTCACATGTTTTCAGGAGTGGATTAGATTTAGATAATTAGAAATGGCTATAGTTACATTATTTGAGCACTTACGCAAAGGTTTGTGCTAAATATTTTGTATATGTTGTTTCTTTAAAATAAATACCAGCAGACATACCTAGACAGGAAAAATAGAGAATAGATGTGGAAAAGAGGTAGAAGATCTCATTTTAAATTTTTTAGAAAATATGAAAGTAATTCTGGTTCTTAATTCTAAGAGGAGATAAAAATCTGCTTGTTATTATAAGGTAGGACATTTTGTTCCCTTACTTTCCAATTTATTTCTCCATCCACTGAATTCTAGCTTCTGCCCCCACCAAATTACTAAAACTCCATTTGCCATATTCATCAATAGCTTCTTGTGGTGAATCCAATAGGTTTTATTCCTTATTGTATGTGATTTTTTGACTTCCTTTAACACGTTTGACCATTAGGTCCCTTTAAAAATACTCTAGTCTCAAATGTTTATCCCAAGCCAAAATTCTTGCCTGATCTGCAGACGCAATGTTCAACTAAACACCAGGCATCACAACCTTGATGTCTTACAGACACTCCTATGATTCAATTATGTGACTGAATTCATCACATCTTCCTCATCCCAAATCTGCTTTTCCTCCTCTGATCACCACTTCAATAAATGGCTTCATATCACCTCAATGTTTTGAGCCAGGAATAAAGCATGATCGGTGAATTTCCTGTCCTTTGCTCCTTTACCCAAACAGTCATCAAATCTGTTGATATTTGTCTTTAATAGCTCTTAAACCTTTTATTTCTCCATCCTCACTGCTACCACCTTAGTTCTGAATCTCACAGTCTTTGACTACTTTATGCAGCAATTTCCTAATTGGCCTCCCAGGTGGTCAACTAAGTATAAAAATAAAGTGCTTATTTTCCTGAACTGACCAATCATGTATGCTAAAATAGATAAGACACCTCCCACAGCTGTCAGACAATGCACAATGTGGAATGAGGTACAATGAGACTGCAGGAAGAAGGCAATGAGAGTACTATCAAAAAGCTAGGGGACCTTAGTTCAGGTGGGTGATAAAAGGCAGCTAAATGTGACTACTGGGTGTCATAAGGAAAAAGCCAAATTCTAAGGCAAAGACAAGAACCAAGGATAAGCAACTACTGAAACCAACCGGAATTACAGACAGAAACCAGGGAGCAGCAGTAGAGGGATTTATAGGATTCTGCAGAATATCTTATTTTTATCCAGGCCATTTTTCATAAACCAGGTGTACACTTGCAAGTTCTTATACAACGGCATCTTGAAAGATGTCATGCAGCATCTTCCCTGAGATACATGGTCTTAAGAAGTGGGGTAAAATATTTCAACTGTATTCACAGTTAGAGACGACTGTATTGAGTCACAAATAGTCAATAGGAGGGAATAATAGAGTAAACTATTCCGGAAAAAGATAAAATATATGTCTAATTATATGTCATTTTCAGCTCCTCTACCTCAACTTCATTCTAGGAGATCTTAAGGCAAAAAACTTTGCCTTTATCTCATATATAACTGTTTCTGCTCTGATATCTGCTTAGGCTACTTTGGTCTCCCCCTTAGCTAATTTTGCTTATTTTGAAACAGGATTTTGTACAATTTGTTCCTGCTGCTTGCCATTGTATTAGACAAAGTGTTGATATGATGTGTTGTTCTTTAGATAGTAAACAGTCTATAAAAATAATTAGTTACAGATAAATAATGCGTATAGCAAAGGATGTCATTTTAGCTAAAGTAAATACATGAAAATTGGTAGATTCTAAACAATAAGTTTCTTCAGGCGTAAATTAAAATAATGTTTTGAGATACATATACCTACTATGTACCGACAAAAAATAAAAAATAAAATAATGATAAAATAAAATAATGTTTTGTTTTCCAATAAACATCAACTTCTTGCAAATAATTCTTAGGCTCTGAAAACTACCTTCTCTTAATTTTTTGTGAAAATGTCAATGAAAGTAGATAAAATTGTTCTTTGCCTATCCAAATGTTACAAACTTGTATAGATAAAAATGTGAGGTCACCATATTCCTTGGTTAGTTGATAAATACAAGAAATGTACACAATAGAATATGATATTGTATTCTGTTTTTTTTTTCAATGTCTTTTTTTTTTTTTTTTTTTTTT